ACATATTTGGTATTCATGCTGAGCTGTATTCAGAAAAATTATATACATATATATGTGATTTAGTCACCATACTCAAAGAGTTTAAATCTAACGGGAAGACAGACACATAAACTATTACATAAACTATGTAATAAGTGTTACAAATATTTATTGAGAGCCTACAATGTGCCTGGCACTAAGCTGAAAATATGAGTCCCTGCCCTCACACAGCTTAAGAGTCTAACAAAGTCAAAGAGTACTGAGAAAGGAACGAAGGGAACTGTAAAAAAAGGCAGGTCAGAAAAAGGTGGTATCTGACATGGGCGATGAAGAGTGAGTGTTATTTTATATAACAAAGGAAGGAACAGAACATTCCAGCAAAAGAAAAAGCGTGTACTAAGGCACCTAAATTGAATAAATATAAATGTTTGGGAAAAGGGGAATAGTACTATATAGCTAAGATTTAGAGTAATTTAGGGAAATAGAGGGAAATTAGTATCAAAAAGGTAGAGTGAGGTCAATATGTAAAGTATCCCATTTAAAGTCCGAACCTCATCCTATAAATTTGAGGAAGTTACCAAAAGCATTTGTTAAGTGAAAGAATTAACATAATAAGCTCTATATTATAGAATGAGCTGCTTGGTTAGAGAAAGTGAAAGTAGGGAGCAGATAAGTTTTCCTGAAGGTTTCTCTCAGACACAGGATCTAGGTAAATAGCTAAAATTGCACCTAGAAAAAAAAGCATGTAATCTTGAACCATAATATCTGAGCAGGTGATAGAAGACACAATTAATATGACACATTTGTTCTGAGACAAAATCTGTGGAGGCCCGTAAGGATCAGAAATATCTAAGGTTATGAGTAGCAGTACAGTAAAACAATGAGAGTAAAAGCTCTGGGATTGTACTACTTGGGCATGAAGCCTAGTACCGGTGCTTTCTAGCTGTGTAAAGTCTGGCAAGTTAATTAATCTATTTACCTTAATTTACTCATTTGTAAAATTGGCAATAATGAAAGTATCTACCTCATGGAATTATTAAAATTAAATGAGACAATACATGGAAAACGCAGTGCCCAGTACCATGTATTCAATTAATGTAAGCTATAAATAAGATGAAACCAGTACCTTGAAAAATATTCTTCAACAATTCCATACATTCTGATTATGCTAATAGTTCAATATTTATAATATTTAATTTGTAGCATCGTTATGTACATATTTCTCTTTTCCTCTATACTTTAAACTCTTTGAAGGCAGAAGAAGCCTCATATTCTCCTCTGTACCATATGTTTAGAAGGTAACACATAGGTGTTTATTGCAGGTAACCAAGTGAAAAGCTATTGCTATTTTAAATTCAGTTTAGGTTCATATGACAATTTTCAATGAAAGGGGTGCTTACCATTGGTTTACTAACAATTTATCATCCTCAATATAAGTTGTTACAAATTTTATACTAATCATAATTTTGACACTTTTTTCCCAAAGAAGAAATAATGTATTGCTACCATATCGGGGGCCAGAAAATATGCAAAAAATAAGTATAGGTACAAGTTGGAAAATAAATGTGTATTCACAATCTCCTCAAATAATGGGAAAGTTGGTTAATGAGATTCTTATTTCCTCCAAAAAGGATGCTAAATAACAAAAATTATGATCCTAAAAAGTTACTTTTTACATGCTCTTTAAAAACCTTAAGTTTTCCTTTTAAAAACAACTCCACTCAGTAGAACAATGAAGAAATCTAAAAAGGTAGAAGAAATCAATCAAATAAGTTAAAATCTCATAAAAATGAGATCTACAAATCTACTAACCATGGAAAAATTAGGTACTAATTTATCTTATGAAAAGCAGTCATTTGCTAATTACCGTCTTTTCTGCCACATTTGTTCAAAAGCATCTGCAAGTTCTATGTTGGTAATTTCTTCAGAATCTTGAAATTTCAAGAAACCATTTCCACCATGTCCTTGCAAGAAGAGTCAAAAAGATCAAATAGACACATTTTTTAATGTAAATGGCATATATCCAGATGTAAATATTTACTTAACTCATGGCAATTTTTAATATCATTTATGCTATACTCTAAAGTAAAAAATGTTATGAAAACAAATAAATTTAATTTTCCATTATACCAATTAGAAAGAGAATAATGATAGATTGTGTAAAAAAGTAGTAGATATAATATCTTTAAAAATTTTTCTATCGTTTAATTCTAGAAAAGCACATTAATATTTATTCACTGGCTCCATGAAAGCCAGAAGTGAGTTTCCATAGATAAAAATTTCTCAAGTGCCCGCAAACACTGTAGGTGAGAAAGAAGTTAAAGACACTAGCTAGTCCCATGATGTGCTAGTATTATACTTGGAATGCTATACTACTAGGAAGTGCAGTTCTCACTTAAAAATTGATGTTTTTACTACCATCAAAATTGTCCCAGAAGAGCTGACACAAATATTGTGACATTCAGAATGCATGATAGAGCCAGTTTGTCTGGATTCAAATGCTAGCTTTTCCACTTAATAACTGTGTTATCTTAAACAAATTAATCTATGTCTCAGTTTCCTCAACTGCAAAGTAATGTGTCAGCAAGACCATCATTAGCATACCTATATAGATCCTTTGTGCAGACTTTCAAAAGATACTTCCCACTAGTTAGCAAAGTAGAAAAATCTATTTCAATGCCCTCTCTGAATACAAGTCTTGTGAGCTCAAACATGGTTAGTGGCAATGTCTCTGTGGGATTAAAAACGTTTCTCCCTCCCATTAGACAACTCTATGGCAAAGCACACAGCCTAGTTAAGTGTAAACATATACTAAATTTTAGCTCCCACTCACCTCCCTACCCACATACTTATGTGCAGTACACAACCCACACAACCACACATGACAGCTCTGAGTATTAGCACCTAAATTTCTGGGTTGCTGTGAGGATGACATGAATTACACACAATGATTTAGAATATTGCCTTATATATAGTAAGCCTCAATATTAGCTATTATCATTTTTATTATAGTATCACAATTATCAGCCCTCCTTTCTCTTCCCTGGGGTGGCAAACTTTTTCTGTAAAGGGCCAGGTAGTAAATGTTTTAGGCTTGTGAGTCATACTGTCTCTGTTGCAACTACTGGACTCCGCTGTTGTAGTGTAAAAGCGACCACAGACAATATGTAAAACAAGTGGATGCAACTGCGTTCTAATCAAACTTTACTTCCAAAACAGGCAGTCCTTGGGTTATAGTTTACAAAATCCTATCTTAGGCTACTGTAATTTCTTGCATACCAATCAACTGTGAAAAAAAAAAAAATGTTGTAAAACCCCTAGCTTAAAATAAAGCTAAGTTATAAGACTCTATCTACTTCATCTTATTTGCCCTGAAAGCTTGAAAATTTCTTATAACTGTCTAACCACATTAATTCTGCTGAGTTAGTTTATAAAGCTTGTAAATTGATTGAATTTTAAAATAAAAGTTATGAATAAATACAATATGTTAGATAAATAAAAGTAAATCACTAATAGGAGTCAGTAATTGTCCTGCTGTGTGACATCCAAGAATCGTTCTACGCCTGTTTTATCATCAGTTGAATGAAATGTCCACTGAAAAAATGTTTAAATATCACTTGAAAAACATTCATATTTACTGAATATTACTATAAGACAGGGCACTGGTGATAAAAAGATGAAAAACATTATCAATGACATCTTGGAGTTCAAAGTTAATAAATAACCAGATGAAAACGTAATAAGTTAAATGCTAAGATAGAAACTATAGATTAACATGAGAGTGCAAAGACGAGAGCCTACATCAGCCAAAGAGATGAGAAATGTTTTAGGGCAATTATAAAATGTATTACACATATCAGGAAACTTCTGAGGGAGGAAGGAGGCACTATTAATAATTACACTGGGACAACAGGTATAAACCAGGACTGTCTCAAGCAGCTGGAAACACAGGTCACCCTAGACTTTGGAAAATCATTGAAGAAAGTGACTACTGAGCTAAGACTAAAAAGATAAGGAATAATCAGGTAGGCAAAGTGAACTGAGAAGACATCAGTAAGCAAAGGCAATAGGTTATCAACTTATGGAGGACAGAAACAGTCAAATGCATGGAAGGGAATTAGAAAAAGTATAAACTAAAATTAAATAAGCAATAATATAACTAAAGTATATATATATTATATATTACATATAATATACTAAATATTATGGAGGACTTTATCTCCAATAGTCCTTAAAGTATAGACAAAAGACTACTGCAGTGCATATCTGAGGAGTATATTTAAAGTGTCATTTTAAGAGCCCGACGCCAGACCAGTATTAAATCAGAGTTTTAGGAAACGGCCTAAATATCTGCATTCTGGTAATCCTTATGCACGCTAAAATTTGAGACCCAATCAATGGGAAACCACTGTAAAGTTTTAAGAAAATGAGTCACAGATTTGCAATTTCTATTAACTACCTTAGCAGGATAATTAACTGAAGACTGATAAAATTGAAGGAAAGAGGGTCTAGCAGGATACTAAGTAAAAGGAAATAAACTTTACCAGGGTAATAGCAAAAAGAATGGAGATAAACTAAAGAATAAAGCAAAATGTTATACTGTCTTCAAATATCATTTTAAGAAATTATGTATTATGAGAAAAGAGAACTAGATAAATCAATTAACGAAAAATCATATAAGGTGTTTAAATTTCATGCAGATTTCTTTTTGAAAAGAGTAGCAATACATTCTATTATTAAATATCTAAATTCTGAAATTACCTGTCATATAAATAAGAATATTGCTCCTATCATCAGAAAGAAGACGTTTTGACCGAGGAGTACTAGGTGGGATCCTCCCAGTTAATACTCGTAAAAAATTCTCCACCGTTACCTAGGAAAAATAAAAAGAGAATCAGATAAAAAAGAACGTGGGAAAACCTGATAATTTTTTTTTAACTTCCAAAAACATTCTGTCTTCTTTCTCTATGTATTACTGAAAGTAAAACACAAAGAGAAATTTAACTCAATTAAAATATAGTTATTTAAATATATATCTCAAAGTAACTTTGGTTCCCTAAAAAAAAAAAAAAACCACTAAGAATTAACAAAAACTACCTTGGAGAAAAAAAAAGTTAATTCTAAATTTAAAACTGTAAATGTTATGCAAAATATTGCCTAAAACTTAAAAATTATAAATTTGTTTTCATATGCAACTCTTTAGGAAGATAAAAAATATAGAAATTTGTAAATAAATTCCACATCACTACTACAGTTAATCTGTGCAATTATTTAGTCAATTCTAGCTTAACCATGAAATGTAGGTCCACAATAAATCATAAAAATAAAGCCATAATTATAGGTCCATAAATAATCTCCAAATTATCTTTGATTTTTAATGCATCTTGTTACTTAAATTTCACTAGGGGTATCTTTAACATGTAAAATATTCCTAACACTTTAAACCAGATTTCCCATACTGGAACTTCTGGACCTCTGAGATTCTTTGAAAGCAAATTCAAAGTCATTGAGAATGTAATGTTAATTTAAAATTAAATTACACAGATCTAAATTTAAAAAGCAGAAAATCTCTCTAGCTTTCTTGGACTTTTCTCTAGATTATGAGTATGTAAATGGGTATGTGTGTCTGTATATAAGCTGCTGGTTTACATTTTTCCCATTAGACAGCAAAATGCTGTTTTAATAGGACTTCTTGCTGGCTAACAAGGAAGGGAAATTTTTGGTCTGGAATTTATAATGACTGAATAACCAAGCAAATGTCCAATAACTATATACATTTAATCATTGAACAAACATTTCCTAATGCCTTCAAAAGGCTATAGGTATCTGCTAGATATGAGATACATAAGATATAAGCCATATCCTCAAAGAGCTTACAGCCTGGGAGAAGACAGATATGCTTTTTAAATTACTTCTAAACAAGTCTGAGAATACAGGAAACTACATCTTACTTTTGATAGGCTTGGTAAAAGGAGAAGGATTATCAAGGAAGACTTCAAATTTTAAACATAGTCAAAATTTATTAAATTTAAAATGAAGTTTCAAAGGGAGAAAATATAATATAATGCTATTTTTCAAATTTACATTTTTATTTTTAATCATATACGCCTAAAAACAATAGAAGCATATTAAAAGTGGTTACCTCTAAGTAGTGGAAATATGGTTGAGTTTTTTATTAGTCATTTTAATTTTTTCCACAATTAATATATTTACTAAAAATATAAATTTTGAAATTTTAGATCAAATATGAAAAACAATACATTTACTGCAAAAGAAATTTGATATATGTAACCTCACTAAATACTCATAAATACCAAGATAAAATTGTTTTAACCTAGATAGATACATAAAAAATGGTTGTGTTGTGATAATTTTACTTAAATATTATTTCTTTAATATGAACTCCACAGACAGAATTATATCAAGGCTTCAGTAACAATTATGTACAATATTTAAAGGAAAAAAGTAAGACTATTTTATTCTACCACTATTTTAAAGCTTAAAAGCAACAATAACTACATTTCAAAAATGTTACTATTAAACAATTTACCTCATAACTTCTATAATCTACTTCCACATCATCTCCATATACGTTTAGTTCCATATTCTTGTGACTAAACACTGTAGCTGGTTTGGGATTCCTAGGGTTGCATGCCATATCATCTGCAAGCATCAGAACAATGTGACTAGAAATAAAAAAATTCCAGAAAATATATTATTGACAGAAAATCAAAAAGTTAAAAACAAATACATTTTATTTATATCATGGAGCAATTATGTTCATTCTTTAAAAGCAACTCAAAATAGAGTACCTATTTAAAAGAACTTTAGTTTTTCATATCTGTACATAGTACAAGTTTTAAAGTGGAGGAATAAGAGCAATCTGGCATGAATCTATCCGCAGAATTTGAAGTTATTAACTTAAATTTTTTCCTAATAAAGTATACTTTATGCCATATAGTGAAAGGAAGCAGAAGGAGCTACACTGTCCTCCCCAAACATTTTTTTAATTAGTAATATTTTTACATTCTCAGGATTTACAAGGTACACATATAAAGAATTTAACTTTCAGAATTACATATGCTTAAGTATAAAAACATGCAATCAGTGTACTACAGGAACACATCCCCAATTGGATCACTCTTCACTGGCTCCATTCCATCTCCCTAGCACCAGCTCTCATCATCTCTTGACTAGATGCTAGAATGGTTCCCTACCTAGCTTCTTGCTTCTATTCTCACCTTTTTATAGTTCACTTTCCTTTTGGCCACCAGGGTGATCTTTCTTAAGTAAGTCAAATCATTAGACTTTCACACTGAAAAGGACTCTCTATTATAATTAGAAGAAAATCCAAACTCCTTACATGGTCTAAAAAGCTCAATTAATATGGTCTCCATCAACCTCTTACTTCAGCCCCTACCATCCATGTTCACTATGTTCCTTCCATTCTGGCCTCCCTTCTGTTCTAAGAATATGCCAAGCCTTTCCCACTTCAGTGCTACTGATCAAATTTAGACATCTCTCCTCCCAAATCTTTGTACCATTCCAATCTCAGCTATCTCAGCTAAAGTACTCTACTCTCATTATGAGTTTTATTTTCTGTGAATCATTTATAAATCTGAAATCCCCATCATCTCCCACCACCACCCCCATTAGGATATAAGCTCTGAGGGCAGGGGCTTTATCTATCCAGTTCACCACTGTAACACTCGGGCTTAATGATAGCAAGGTATTCAATAAATATTCATTGAGTGAATGAAACATTTTCATTTTTGCACGTATTTTCTTTGAGAGAAAATTACAAAATTTCACTTAAATACTTCTCATCTTGATCTTACCATTAAAACTGTTGAACATGAATCAGGCAATTCTTTATTCTACCATATACTTGAGCTTCCCAAACATAAGGGAAAAATTAATGTGGCATATGTAATTAGTTCGGCAGGAGATTGCAAGAAGAAAATGTTCTGCTGCATATGTTCCAAATACATTAAAGTTCAAAACTGAAACATTGTGATTTTCTTGAAAATTGGCTAGATTTCTATTTTGAAAGGGTTCCAACCCTGCCACATTCAAAGATCAGATCTTCAGCTGTCAGTGATTCATACTCACAGAAGGGTGAAAGTTATTCCTCTTAAAATGGAAAATATATCTCCTCTTTTTAATAAAGATGATTACGTTAAATTATTATTAATCATATCTTTTTTTGTTACAAGCCACTATTAAACAAAACTGAACTGACACACAATATTAGTTTAAGGTTTTCTTACCGATAATTTTGAGCCTCAATATAAGTACAATCACCTTCTGCTAACATAATCAAATATCATAACAAATTCATATTTGTGGATAATAAATGAAAAACAGGACAGGAAACAGGCTCAACTTCAAAGGTTTAGAAGTCTATCCACATATTCACTGTTTCTAAAACTTAAAAAATGTTCAGAACTGTTTTCTGGAGAAAAATAAATTCTCAATTGATCCAAGTGTTAAATTATTTGTATAATGATACTTAAATATACAAATGAAAGTAAACTCCTTAGGCTTACAGTTCTTATAAAACTATAAATGCAAAATTATAAATTAAATGCTAATAAAACTACTAAACTAATAATACTCCAAAAACATTAATTACATTTGAAGGATAATGTTATTTTGCTAAAATTAAATGACTATGGTTATATTTAACTGGAGAAAAATAGTATCAGGACTCACTCTATACCTTATTTTCTTTTTTTTATATTTTGACATTCACACAACAATGTAATTCGATGATATGTAAAGTCTGTTCAAAAAAGTATATTGTAAAAAATGCGATTCATAACTTCCAGGATCTGTTTACTACTCAAGATAATCAGATTTTATATTTAACTAAAGCTTTGCCAGTAAACATTCTTTGAACACCAGTTACCATGAGATCTAACTTGCTGACTCCTTAAAGTATCTTTTTCACCTGAATATCAGGTTAGCATCACAGCAGTTATTTAAGTATTCACTGAATGGGTATCAAATCACTGCTGAAATTAAGACCAAAACAATCTACACTGAAGACATACTACTACATCCCTATAAATAACAATAGGAAGTTGCTTAGTATCTTATTAAAAGATAAAATCCCTCAAATATATCCAATCAATTCAAGAATATAATATTCTTACAGTTTGGCAATCCTATACTACCATGTGTGATGACTCAACTTTCACACTTCATTCAAGCCCCTGCAAAACCTACATCACACAACAAAACATATGGTCATATGGCCTTCTCTCAACACAAAACCGAAAGAAAAGCAAGCACTGAATTTGTATAAAGTTCAAACCGGGTTTGAATCCAAACAATACAGTGGTTATTTTATAATTAGTTTTCACATTTCTTTCAGTAGTTTTCACATTTTTAAATCATTCACTCCAGTAAAAAAGTATGTGAGGACACACCCATACATATCTACTAATTTCTAAGTTATATGTATTTGCTAATTTAAATATAATAAATATTAGTAAAGCAATACTTCATCCCTTTTTTAGATAAAAAACAAACATAAAGAAACTGCTAATATTTTCTTTGGTGTTTGATATAAAGAGAATACTTTGATCAAACTTATAAACATTTTAAAGATCATAAATACAAAAATGAAAATTCAAAATGTAAAAAAAATATATATGTGGGAGAAACTGGCCTAAAATAAATACTTTCCCATTATCATGTTTGCCAAACATTGACAGAATAGGTAAGTCCTGCTTCAGGACTGCTGGGCCCTCTACCCACCTCTCTGAAATTCTTCCTTGGCCCAATCAGGAACCAGAAACCAATAGGTTAAAAAAAAAATTTTTTTTAAATAGGTAAATAATCATTTACCAACATAGACCATTAGAGTGTGAAATTTCAAAACAGCATAACTTTTCATTTACGGTAGACTTGATATTACCTTAATAAAAATTCTTCACTGAATGAAATTTAAATAAATTACTGTTTAGTTAAAACTTTTTTAAACTGTTCACTTAAAATTAAAATTGCTATACATTCTATAGCCATGCTACTAATCAGCTAATACTACCTCAGAGCACCTTTAGCTACCAAAGCTAGGATCACCGTACTTACCTTCATCATCACCATCTAATATAGAATAGTAGCTAAAATTAAAGCAGATTTGAGAATCATGAGGATGTTTGATGGCCTTAAATCTCAGAGTTTCTGCTCATAGGTGTCACTTTTTTTTTTCCCATGCCTTGAGGAATCTCTAAGTTAATAAATCTCACCACCAACACACTATCAAACTAATCAAAACAAATCTGTTAGCCACAGGAGCTACACCATCAAGATTTTCTGAATTACTTTCAACTTGCCAAATGTCAAACAACTGGCATTACTAGACTATGTGATACCAGGTATTTTTTACTTATATTATTAGAAATAAAACTCGAAAAACTGCAGAGACAGGAAGTAAACAGCAGCAGACATGTTACATAAGGGTAGAGCTAACTAGCTACAGGCTCATATATTTAAAGTTACATGTGGTTTAGCGTAATAAGATGATAACTAACATATCTTATGTATTTGGTATATCTAAAGCACTGCACTAGTTAAAATAAGCACCTTACAAGCATATCCCATACACTTTCCAAAATATGTATTATTATCATCCTTATTTTACAAGTTATTACACTGAAGCACACGAAAGTCCAGTAACATGTCCCAGGTCACACAGCTAGTAAGGAGTAGAGTTTGGATTCAAACCCAGTTTGTCTGACATGAGCATAGGTTTTTAACAATTCTGCATTGCCCTGAAAGTATGAGAACTGGCATCTGAAAGGATTTAATGATGTTTTTTGTTTTATATTGATAATTTAATCAACTTGGATGATTAAGTTGAATGCATAAACCCATTATTACTGTTTAACATTTATGGCATATAACTGATAGAAAATAGACCTTTGAAATTCTAAATGGAACTATCCAGAGACCTTAACAAACTCTGAAACTGAAGAATAGCACTAGAGCATATAATTTCTCCTTTAAACATAATAAGATATAACTGAAAATGTTAAGTGCCCATTTACATGAAAAAAGTCTAAGAACAGAACTTCAAAGAAATACAGAGACTAGCATTCTAGACAGTCTCCAATCAATTCCCCAAAGCCCCTGACTCTCCTACAGAAAGGCACTGGGATTATATCCTACTTCTGGCCCTTCTCTCAACAGGTCTTTTCAGCCATACAACCTGCCATTTTCACTCTCGACCATTTGTACCTTCACCTATAGCCTACACCTAAATCTTCACTGCTTCCGAACACCCCTCAATATTAACCACTCTTCCTATAACGGGGGGAGGGGGAGGGGGGCAAGCGACAGAGATGCCCCACCCTTTGCTGTGAGAGTTAAAATTAGTATTGTGTAGACAGACAAGTTTTTCATCTCTTTTTCTCTGTTTTCTACTGCTCAACTTCTCACTAACTAGTTCACTGAGCTACTCAAGCACACCAGCTTCAAAGCTTGGAATTCAAATCTGTGCATTACCAAAATTACAAGTTACTATATTTCTCAAACATTTTGGAAATGCTCACAGAAACAGTCAAAATAAAGAATGCTGCATTAATGAATGCTATCGATGTAGTATAACCTATTTTTGTCAAAATACACAGAATAATTCTTTTAAATCTTGATATATCACATATAAAAGTCAATTAGG